ATGTGAAACACCCGGTAACGGGTGTGTGCAATGGTCGGGTCTTTTCTGCCCGTGCGTGCAACCCGCCAATGCTGCAGTGCCGTCCTTTCGTTTTTTTACTACGGGCGGACGGCAAGTGGTTAAACAGACTATTGCCGCTGGGACTCTGTTTAAACTTGCAAAGCCGACTGTCGGCTTTACAACACGGACGCACGCACAATTTGTAACGTGGGCATGTTGGGTATCGTTTTACTCGTTGTAACCGCATCTTTTATATTTCATTAAAAAAAAAATCGGTATTTTGTTGTGTTTTGGGGCATTTAATTAAGCTTTTCACTAAATGTTGGGGTTTAATAAGGAGTTGCACTAATATGTTGCACTAATATTGCGCAACATAAAAATTTGCAACTACCACCATTTTATTCTATAGGGTCTTGGCATTCAGAAAATATATAATGTCTGGGGGTTTTAAGTCATTTTCAGGCCTAAAATGTGGAATATAACATGGGTGCAAAAAATGAAAAAAAGGCCTGTCATGAAGGGGTGACAGTCTACACAAACTTAAGAAGGATGAAAGTAACTGTTTTTTATTTGGTCTTGAACTCTTGTTTGTGCATCTTCTAGTTAAAAGGAGAACTATGGGGTTAGGGCTTTTCCCCATAGTTCTCCTAAGTCACGCCTCTCTGCCGTGAAAGGATTGAGAAGTGAGCGAACACCGGTATGTGTTCGCTCACTTCCCGATCTACTGAGCCGACCTGTGACAGTCTCATTGTCACAGGTCGGCTAGAACTATGAGGATGAGTGAAAAGCACCCACCTCATAGTTCTCCTTTAAGCTGGCCATATACTGTTAGATTTTAGGTGTTTATATGAAAAATCTTGTCAGTACATTCTATAATGCCATTAGAGACGTAAAGAATGTTTGTCCAGTATTTTGTTCAATTTTAACATTTGATTTTGGAAATTATTGGAGTTTATCAAAGGGGGAAAAAAAAAACCCACTCACTGATAGAATTTTGCTCAGTCAAGAAAAAGTTTCCATCCTGTCCATTTGATTTTTTTCACCACTACAGAGGAAAATTGATTATATCGATATGACCTCATTAACTATTAGAAAATAGACTACACATTCCAACAACAATTTATTTTCAAATAAAATTCTATGGCCAGCTTTAACAAATTGCTAGCTAGTGGGAGCTGCTGTTTGACTATAGCAATTATAGTGGCTGCTGTAAAAAAACAGAACTTGTTAATAGTGTTCATTAACACAACATCAGCTGCAGCCTTTAGGCCCCTTTCACATGAGCGAGCTGGACCCGATCAGATGCTCTATGCAAGTCTATGGGGAGCCGTGTGTAAACAAACAACCGTCCACTTGCATTCGACCCCAGCTAGGTCCGGAAAAGCATTGTGCTGGATCGGGGGTAATCCGATGTAAACAGTCTGTTTCCTTCCGATTCCCCAGACACACATGGGGTCCAGTAGCTTCAGATTTTACCTCCAAAAAAACTGTACGGACGTAACTGAGGTGACATCCGCTCCATACTGGTGTGATCAAGAGAGGAGCTGTTGACGGATCCTCTCCTGCCACGCTCGTCTGAAAGGGGCCTTAGGGCTTGTTCACACCATGTCTGGACCAGATCCGGACCAGGGCGTTTTTGGTCTGCACCTGAAATGCATCCCAATGTATTCCTATGGTATTTCTGGGCTCTGTTCAAACCAGTGCAGTCCGTTCCGATGCCGGGAAAGAAAATGCTACATGCACTATTTTTTCTGGTCTGGAACGCAACAAATTGCATGTAAACACATGCAAATGCACTGGACTGCACATAAAAGCTAATTTTAAGCAAAATAAATGCACAGAAACACGTCAAAAACACATCAAAATACGCACTGCACAGTGTTTGCAAGAACGCATCAAAATCCAATCCGGAAATTGTGTGAACAAGCCCTGAGAGATACAAAGTAACATTGTTGTTTCTTTTGTCTTTACTGTTGAATCCATCTGCAGATCAAAGAGGTGAGCTGTAATCTGCAAAGTCAGCTAAATTAGAAAATCTACTCTTCCCAATACTTAGAGGTAGCATTGGAACCTGCAGCTGTCACACGCTTGCTCTATATATCATGTGACCATTGACTGCTAAGCTCTTGGTGTCTTCTCCCTGCAGATAAGCACTCATTGGAGCGACAGACAGGGAAGGCAGCAGGCATAGCTGGTTCTGGCTCTAGAACAGCCTCTCCGAAGTGGGGAGGCATCTGGCTTCATTAGGGGTGCCTTGAAATTTGAATTGGGCTGCAACAACTCATCCATTTAATCGATAATGAGAATCATTGTCAACAATTCTCATTATCAATCAGTTGATTGTTCAATTAGTTGTTTCATGGGCTCTGTCCCCCCTCTGATCTCCGCTGCTCCTAGCGGTGGATGGGAGGGGAAACAGACCGCTGCTGCCAGTGCTCAGCACTGGATCGTGCAGTACTGTGATTACAAAAAATATGCATGCAGTTAAATTCTGAAGTAAACTTTATGTTTTTAACATTCCATTTGTGTTTTTTATTTAAATTGTTATTTTTTTTAATCCGATTAATCGAAAAAACAATAGGCCACCTAATCGATTATGAAAATAATCATTAGTTGCAGCCCTAATTTTCAAACAGCGTCATGCCTTTCCTTTGTGCAGGTGGGCCAGCCGCCAGTATCATGAAAAGGTATGCCGCTAATTCAGGAGGGGCGAGATCCATTCATCCAGCCTTCTTATGTGATGGTAGGACTCTGATGTAAATTGTAAAGGGAGGACTAAGGACTCAGATGTGATGGGGCTGAGAACTCCTAATTAGAAGGGGTGCTCCTGATGTTAAGGGGGGATTATGATCTTAAAGGTGCTCCTACTATGAAGGGGAACAGATAAGAGTCTGGTATGGATTTTGGAGGGACCACCCATTGTTTTTTACATTCACGTTTTTTTCACATTTTAAAACCAGGGTGCCTTGAGATTTTCCATACTTTTAAAGGGTGACGAGACTCAAAAAAAAAGTATAAAAAGGTTGATTAAGGTACAGCATGTTGTGCTGAACTGCAACGCATGGCCAAGAGGTGCATTGGGGTGCTATTCAAATGAATGGCAGCACAATGCACCTAGCACACAATAACTCACTAGGTGAGCTGTGCATCACCATGCATTAAATCCACAAATAACGCAACTCTATTGAGTGAATAGGCTTTAATGCTGCTTTAATTTTAAACCACCACTAATCAAAGTAGAGAAAAGGTGGGCCTTTTGTCTATGGAACTGCTGTCATCAGGGGGGCCAACTGCAAGCACCAGGAGGAGACAGAGGGCTTCTGCTTACATAGGAAACAAAGATGACAGAGCAGGATGGGATGTACAAGCAAAAAGGTAACACACATATGGGAATTTGCACTATTCACTTGGCCTATTCACAGCAGCAACTGCCTTAGGCTCTGTTCACACCTAGGCGTATCGAATATGCGCGTTTGTCGCCAAAATGTGCGCCAAACGCACGTTTCCGAGGGCTACTTGGCTGTATCCCAAAGGAAACGCGCGACAAAAACGCCGCAAAGAAGCTCATGTACCTTTTCAGGCGTAGGCCGTTTTGTAGCGTGTTCAGACGGGCTGAAATACGGCAAGGTGTGAACCATACCCATAGAAAACAATGGGATTTTCATGTTTGAGCGTTTTGTAGAGCGTTGAACGCGCTACAAAACGTACAGGTGTGAACCAGGCCTTAGAACACACTGCGGCCTTTTGTTTTCAGTAGACTAGGGCTGCAACAACTAATCGAAATAATCGATTAATTGAAAATAATCGTTAGCTGCAGCTCTACAGTAGACCTATATTGAAATACACAACATGACATTTGCTTCAGTTCCATCGGCCCCAGTGGGGTGCAGGGGTGTGGAATTCCTATCACCCGACGCCCGGTACAGGCAGTTTCGGGCGACGGGCGAGTAGTTTTTTAATACATTCAGCCCTGCTCCGGACAAGCAGAGCGAAATGTATATTGTGGAGCCGCTGCTCGTTTTCATACAAGTGATCTAATCAGATCACTTGCATGAAGCGAGAATCGGCGATCCTGTCCGGCCCCCACGCCGTGATTTTCGGGGGTCCCCCGCTCCTCTGGTGGTCACCACTGCACGGGAGCTCACCATAGAGCCGGCAGAGCAGGCGAAGCACTTCCTTTCTTCGTCTGCTCTGTGCTATCACTGAGACCGTGGCACTGTAATCACAGCGCCACCTGTCTCAGCTGTCAGGAACTACACAACATCAGTTCTGTGTTGGAGGGCAGGTTCCATAAAGAGAACCTGTCACCTCCAAACTATCACATAGAGGATTTTAACACCATATGTGATAGGAATAAAATAAAAAATTAAAAAACTTTTTAAAAAGTTATAAAAAAGTAAAAAATAATATATATAAAAAAAATTTTTTAACCCTTTCGCTGCCAAGGACGTACGTCGTACGGAGCTACAAAAGTGCTTCCAGCTGGCCAGCTCAGTACGTCGTACGGACCTGGCATTTACAGTTCTACTATAAGCTGATGGTCGCTTTAGCGACCATCAGCTTATAGTAGAACTGTTCAGCAGACTGTCCCCTTTAGCGACCATCAGCTTATAGTAGAACTGTTCAGCAGACTGTCCCCTCTGACAGCAGCAGAGGGCGGGTGCAATAGCCAGCTTGCTACTGACTATTGCAAATTGAAATAGCCAATAGCAATCTAGCTATTCATTCCTATGCCGTTGTTTTTTGCATTGTGATGGCAGCAGCTGTCAGAATACTAAAAAAAAAACCAGCAGATAGCAAAAGAAGCTAATGCTTCCCTTGCTATTTGCCAACATTTCAAGAGGGTGCTCCCTTCCTTTTTTGTGCACCCCCCCCCGGCTGGGGGTCAGAGGGCACCTCCCTGAAATTACATTTCAGGTTGGGATCCCTGCTAGGCCCCCAGGCATCACAAAAAGTGCCTTCTGACTCCACTCTGCATCCCTTGCAACCCCCTACTGGTCTTTTGCTACATTTACCCACAAATGGCCAAAACTAGTCAGGAGAGGGTAAATGAAGAGCAAGTAAATGCTAAACGTTGATGCTGCCATCTATAATTACCCAGCAGCCTAGGCACCTGACCACTTGTGCCATAGGGTAGGGCTCTCTCTCCCACTCATTACACAACGCTATCTAACGTGCTGAGCTAGCTTAGCTCCTTCCTTGCCATATGTCTTCATACAGTACTATAGGAAGGCCTCTCTCATACCCCGCCCCTTTATGGGCCATGAGTGCAGCTGCTCACCCTCGTCATAGTTGTATCCGCGCACGTTCCGATGCCTGGCCATGTTCCACGGTTCTACGTCCCTCTATCACTCCAGCCTTCAGCACCCGTCCGTCATCTCTCCATACACAATTCCACCGGCGCCACGACTCCGCAACCGAACGTCACCGCTCCGACGGTGTCGCATGAAGAGGACCGGCCACTAGAGAACCACATAAAAACGACACATGCTCTAAAAATTGTCTCCTAAAAAAAAAACCCCACACGTGTTGAAGCGGCAGCCATATTCTCGAAGACCAAAACTCAAAGCATTCCTATCTATAACCAGCAGGGAAGGTATAATGTGGTAATGAAACCACCAGTCTGGCGGTTTTTTTTTTTTTCAATCAGTTTTATTAGGTAACCCAAAATAACAATTCTATGTGTAATATGCCACAAAGATAAGTGTGTGTAGATTCCTAATAATTGGCTTCTCTTAATAAATTGTTTTTGCTCCGTTAATTATACAGTTAAAACTGTTGTTCTTGCCCAAATCATGCAAGCTTTAAAAGAGAATGATGTGGATGCCAGATAACGGGGAGTTTACTGTTTATTGAGTGTGTTCAGGTTTGTCCTCATATTACACAGTTTTGGTAAATCTAAAGGAGGTTGTACAATCAGATTGTATAAAGTAAGGCCAGCTTATTGCTCATTAGGTAGAACAGCTGGACAGCTACCTTTAAATATCTTCAGCCCCTCTCACAGACCTTTAAGCCAAAACTAGCAATCTGTAGTTGTAGACCTTTAAAGGAGAACTATGAGGTGAGTGCTTTTCACTCACCTCATAGTTCTAGCCGACCCGTGACAATAAAACTGTCACAGGTCGGCTCAGTAGATCGGGAGGTGAGCGAACACATACCGGCGTTCGCTCGCCTCTCGATCCTGTCACGGCTCTCTGCCGTGACAGGGGAGGGGCTGGATTCCCCCCGCTCCGATCCGCCAGCGCTGACTGGCGGAACGGAGGGGGCGGGTACAGCTGGCTCTGCCTCTGGATAGGCAGAGCCAGCTGTCAGTCACGCAGCTGGGCGGATCTAGACATAATTGTCGGGATCCGCTTCAGCTGCGGCGTCTTAGTATACCGCGAGCAGCAGCTCGCGGTATGCGGCGTCTCAGTATACCGCGAGCTACAGCTCACGGTATAGTGAGCCTAGGCTGACGGGAGGACGCTAGTTTGTGTCCTCCAGTTACCCTAAGGAGAACTATGGTGAAAAGCCTTAACCCCATAGTTCTAAAGCTTCCCCCCAGCAGCAGGTCTAAGAAGCATGCATTGGACCTCTCTGGAGATTTACCTTTTACAGGCAGCAGGCCTAAGAGAGAAGGACTTCTGGTCTCACATCCTCATCCGGCAACAGGCTTGAGACTGGACCCTTTACAACGTCATCCTCTCTAGGCAAAGCCTGAAGAGAAGAACCCTTCTCAAAGGACTCCCCAAATATTTCTTCCCTTACTCAGCCTACATCATTGGTCTAAACCCCTCAGTGATGTGCTGGGGCAGAACAAATATTCATAACCCACAACATTGTAACATCTTACTCTGTCTCTTGGGAACACTCCCCAGTAGCAGGCAGAAGCAAACAATCCCGTGGGCTTAGAAGAAACCTAACAAACCCAGATAACCTAAACAAAAGCTCAGACTGGCTACAGCCTAGCAGTAAACACTACATTTAGACTAGGGACACTTCAGCTTAAGGGAGGATTCCTACATTTGTATCTATGGAACAGAAATGAGCATGAACATTTTTATTTATTAAAATATGAAATTTGACTGAGCACTCATCCATTAAAAATATTTTGTTACTCCTGCAAGTGTGACAAAACAAAACTGAAGTTTAAAGTGTATGTAAATGCTGCCCATTCTCTTTTCTTATACAGTCTCTTAACTTACACTGGGTCTCCCAAGTATCAAATACCACATCCTCACAGTGACAGTGAAACAAAAAGGCTGTGCTCTAACGTTTTCACAGGGCTGAGGACTCACTCTCTACGCCCATGTAATGGGTGTCAGAGCAGCCCATCACTAACACCAATACTGTCATATGAGTTTAAGGAGAATGCCCCTGATAAATAGAGGTACTGTGTAGGTTTCTTTGCTATTGGACATCAACAAAGCACAGATTTACATTAGGAGAAACATGTATGTAGTGAACCTTGCCCAAAGTAGGGTTACTTCCCAACAATGAGATGCAGGCATTTGTCCAGAAGCCAGAGTTCCATTGCGGGCATCTGCGCATGTGTATGCGGCTGGCTTGGCTCCCAGCTTATTTGAACTCTTTTCGCTACTCTGTGTTCCTGTGACCCCAACCACCGCTCCTGCCTGACACCCTGTACCTCTCTGTCTGCACGTTACTGACCCTGTCTTGTTCCTGACTTCACTGCTGTTTGTTGCCTGGTACTGCTCTGCCCGCCTGTTAACGACCCGGCTAGTTCTGACTACAGCTCTTCTGGAACTCTGCTCTTTTTGTGACTCTCTCCTCTTTGTTTCCTGCCCAGGAGCCGTTGGCATCATAGAGACTGACCTTTCCTGCCACGGTGACAACATCAACCGCACTCATGCCACTCCATGTCCCTGCACAATTGTTCTCCCATCCAAAGGCTCTGGGACTAGAGCGACAAGGGAGGCCGCCCTCCTCAAATCAGACTCCACAAAGCTACATAACAGCACTGTTCCGATATTTTGATAACCGGTGGGGTCCACTATCAAAATACAATAGCCACAGCGGGAGATTCCTTCATTCATGTTTTTTCAGCCCAAAAGCTAAAAAAAAAAAAAAAAACTAACAGTCTATACTCAGCTTAAGTACACTTAAAAGAGAACTATGGGGTAAGTGATTTTCCCCATAGTTCTCTTATGGGTAACGGGAGGGCACATAGTAGCGTCCATCCGTGACCCAAAGCTCAGTATATCACAGGCTATAGCTCGGGACAGAGCGCCGCAGCCGGGACAGATACAGACATTACTGTCGAGATCCACCCAGCTGCGTGAGTGACAGCTGGCTCTGCCTAACTAGAGGCAGAGCCAGCTGTACCCTCCCCCTCCCAGTCCGTTCCTCCAGTCAGCGCTGGATGATCGGGGGGGATCCCTGCGGGGAGCGGTGACTGACAGTGACGGCTCTCTGCAGGGACATGATCGAGAAGTGAGTATGTGTTCGCTCACTTCCCGATCTATTGAGCCGACGTGTGACAGTTTCATTGTCACAGGTCGGCTCGAACTATGAGGATGAGTGATTTTCACTCACCGCATAGTTCTCTTTTGAGCTTATTTAAAGCTGGTCATACACTAGCAGATTTTCAAACAAAGTTTCGTACGAAAGATCTTTCTTTACCACCCAATAATGCCATCAGACACTTGACAAAAAATGTGGTTTGATTCTAATGTTTGATTTTGGAATTAATGGCGTTTCCTGAACGAGTACCACATTCACTATTAGAATTTCATTCATTCGAGAAAAAAAATTCCATCCTGCTCCTTCAAGTTTTTCTCTCACTACGGTTGAAATTGAGCATCGGTTTGACCCCATTAGCTAACAGAAAGTCGAAAGAAAGATGTTTCATATGAAAGTTCTTTCGAAAATCTAAGCAGTGTATGGCCAGCCAAACTCCAAAAATATTTAGTAGATTAGCAAGTTCCTTGCTTAGTGTTCTTCCCGAAACAGGGTGTCCCAGGGACAAGAAGTGGTAGCAAATCTTCCCATTAGAATAACAAAGGGTTTGAACCTTTGTGTGTTTTTACTGTCTTGGCTTCTTGTCCATTTCTTTTTGTGGGACAGGAAGAGAAATGTCCCTAGTGGGGCCACAAGCATCAAGAGTGGCAGCAGTTCACACTATTCTACTCTCTACTGCAAACTAGAAAGGTTTTGGCCACATCTGAGCTGTAATGAATTCCTTTAACTACATTTTTTCACTACTGGATGTTCCATAACATCCAGGAATATACTGTATATGCTAATATGGGCAAGTATAAAGTGACTTGCAGTGAAAAAGTCAGTGAAAATCTACAGACTGTTTATAGTATATTGCCCCTTTTAAAACCAGCTGCATTAATACATGGGAACCAGCAAGAGAACACAAACACAAGGGACGGTTAAATTAATTTTGTAGATTAATGCTGTGGGGGTGTGAGAGGCAACAAAGGCCCTACAACATTAAATACATACAATAATTTGTGGTCTACCCAAAACTTAGCTTTAGGCAGAGGTTCGCTCCATACAGCAGATGCTCTAGGCAAAATTTTAAAAAAACTTTTAAATGGGAAAAGACCTATTGTAAAATGAAACACAAAGACCTGGCTATACACAGTTTTGGCCCATTAAAGAACTAGCATCTGTTTTGCTTTTTATCAGTAGCAGTGACTCAGTAAAAATAAACTCCCCCTGGCTAATTCACAGTAAAGTTTTCACAAAGAAACATTTATGCAGTGTAATTGCACAATTCACCCCCGTAAAGCTTTCTTCTCTGGTGCTGAAGTTTGAAGAAAAGGATTTGGCATAATCTGTGATGATAATCACCGGTGAGAAGGATGTTCAGATTGTAACAATTTGTCCTTAACTGGCCTTCCTGCACCTTAGCCATGAAGCCTTACATGTACCGCAACATAGACCCATGGGGCTGTACTGCTAAATGGATATTAAAACAAGGAAGTGAAAATGAGGAAAAGGAAACTACCCTGAATGGTCCTAAAGCAGACATAAAGCCCCTAAGAAAAAGTTTAACTTATGACATAATGTGCAAGTATGCACAAAACATTATGGCACACTTACTGACAAGTGTGCTCTACTCTGGCCAATCTTTGCTGTCAGTAACCGCTATGTTCACTGCCACCACTATATAGAGGTTAGAAGCAGCAGTTTAATGATAGAAGAGACTCTGCCTATCTATTCTGTCCAAAAACTCTACTTTCTGCCAGTTTTTTTTATATTTTAGGTTTACTTAAGCTTACTAGCATGTGTCAACCAATCTCCTCTGTAATCTTCTGCTTGGTGTTCTGTAGTAGCTAATTGGAACTGTGTGTAAAGTTGACAGTATGCAGCCACCAAGAGCCATATTAACTGTGCATGGTACAAAAAAGTTGACATAGTTACATGAGGCTTTAATGGCTTATTTAGGTAGTAGACCATGTATCCTAAATACATTATCCCTGTCTTTGTTTTTTGTTTTGT